CGATTAACTATGTTATTGGATATCCGATTCGAAATTGAAAAAAATTAGATAAATAAAGATTTTATTTATTTATCAGATTAGATTGACTTATATCCATATTTGATTTATTTAGTTAACAGATTATCGGATTTGAATCTCGATTGGGTTATCGGATTGAGACCCTAAATCCATCCCCCATTAATTTCATCGGATTCAGATCAAAATCCAATCTATTGACAGCCCTAATTGAAGTACACTGAATTTTTAGTATCGAAGGTGGCGTAGAGCTGATAAACTAAACACACGTTAATATACATAATTATGCCGAAAATGACCCCTCAACTTGACAGATAATGTCGCAAGTTTGGATAATGTAATAATTATGCCAGAGAAGACGATAAAAGTGACATTATGTAAGAAATATGTTTATTGACGTGCCAAAGCAAATGGTTGGCAAGAGGACTAGATTGCTATCACAACACATTGTTTCTCCGTACACCATCGAGGCAAAGAAGAGAGCATCCGTCGACGATACGTTCCCCAACCTCTTCCGTGAATTCGAACCAGGGCAATTGTGGAATCTTTGCATTGAAATTAGGGTTATAAATGGATCGGATCTACTCAAATTCGATTCGATCTGTTAAGAATAATTATCCCATTTGATCCAATCCAATAATCCAAGGGATATTTGAATGTTAAATTCATATCCGATTAACTATATTATCAGAAATTAGATCCGAAATTGAAAAAATTAGAAAAATAAAGATTTTATTTATTTTTTCATTGAAAATCATAGCCCCAACAAGATTTTAATTAATTAGTTATTTTAAAAAATATTTGAACTATCTTGATGGGCTCACTTATTATAATAAAAAGCCTAAAACATATATATATATGTTTTAGTGATATTGGATTGGATTGGATCGGATCGATCTATATCCATATTTGATTTATTTAGTTAACGGATTATCGAATTTGAATTTCGATTGGGTTATCGGATTAAAACCCTAAATCCATCTCCCATTAATTTTGTTGGATTCAGATCAAATTGAAGTATATTGAATTTTTAGCATCAGACGTGACGTAAAGCTGATAAACCAAACACACATTAAAATGTAAGCTTTTATTTTTATTTTTATTTACATTGTGATCCATAGTTGTAATAATTTAAAATATAAGCATTTATTTTTAAAACATTTATAATACTTTAGTTTTTATGTAATTGTATAATAAATAACCTACTACTCTTAATTACATATATAACACACTATAAATAAAGAAAATTGAAGAAATTAGTGACATATTATAAATAGAGAAAATTGAGGAAACCAATAATATACAATTTAAGTAGATATTATATATTCGTCGGGTCAATTTTCACGTAATCAATAAAATACTATAAATAGAGAAAATTGAGGAAACCAATAATATACAATAAATAGAGAGTACATACGATTTAAATAGTTATTACACATCCGTTGGGTAGAGAGTAACATACTATAATCGAGAACTTCTCACTTGACTTCATTTAGTAGAAGAAATATATTTTTGACATTCTTGAATAATGTTCGATGTCTTGAAAATGTGATCGTGCCTAATATTCGACTTCCATCTTTGTTAGATATTCTCATGCATCATGTATTTATGTTCTAGTTAAATATTAAATAAATAATATATGTAAGCAATTAAGATAATTAATGAGATATTTAAAGAATAAATTAAATTTAGTATTAATTTTGTATTCGAATAAGTGATTAAATAAATAATTAATTAAAGTAAAGAAATATTAAATAAACAATGTACATAACCAATTAAAATAATTAATTAATGAAATATTTAAAGAAGAAATTAAATTAAATATTAATTTTTATTTGAGTAACATGCAATAATCGGGAACGTCTCACTCAACTTCATTTGAATAAGTGTTTAAAATAAATTATTAAATAAAGTAATGAAATATGCATAACCAATTAAGGTAATTAATAAAGAAATATTTAAATGAAAAATCAAATTAAATATTGGATAATTCTACATGTACTAATTCATAAGGATGTCCATAATGTACATATGAAATTCCATGAGTGAAGAATCGAAAAAACTATTTTTCAACTCTCCAATAATATTATACTACTTGTACATTATAGTATAATATTTTTATTTAAATAAGTAATTAAAATAAAGTAATTAAATATTAATTGCTAATAATATACATAACCAATTCAGATAATTAATTACAGAAATATTTAAATAATTAATTAA